GAACAATGAGACTGTATTTACTAGCTATGAGAATGAAATTATTTTATTTTGAACACGAAGAAAGAAACTTGGATGCAGTTTTTTGTCTTTTTCCTTTTTGTTTTCCTTCTATCTGTCTTTGTCTCTGTCTGTCTCTCTGTTTTTCTCTCTATCTCTGTCTCTCTGTCTCTCTTGGGTATTGAAAGATGACAGGTGGTACTCAGGGCTTGCACTTAACTCTATGCACAGGAATCACACATATTGGTGATCAGAGACCATGCATGTGCAGTGACAGAGATTTAAACTAAAGTCAGCTGCAATGTAAATTCATTACCACCTGAACTAATTCTCCTGAGTAAATGAGGTTTTATAGAGACAGTATAGAGTATTAAGAGGAGAAGTCCTAATATCAAAGTTTAGTACAAAGTAAATGAATAATAAAGGAGAATAAGAGAAAAACCATGAAATAAAAGTGATATCCCAAGAGAATGGCTTTTAGTCAGGAAATAACATGTTTGAAAGAAGAGAAAATAGTTAAAAAAAAAAAGAAGTAGTTTGGGTGACATACTTTCAGTATTGTGACTCGTGGTTTTGAGGTACACTGTAACCTCACTTATATGCCACTAAAATGTTTAAGACTCTTCTCTTTCCTCCCACTCCATCTCCATCATTTTGGCATTCATGTTTTTGTAATCCCAGGTTAAAAATTTGCTCACATGCTGCCTTCCATTCCCTTGAGAATAGTTAAAAAAATTTAAAACATTTCTCCCTAGAGATAAAGAAAATAGAAGATTTTTTTCACTTGGATATAAATATAGGTAGTTATATAGATTTGACGGAAGAAATTTAGTAGATTAATGATAAATTCCTTTATTTTTCTCAGTAGAGATAGGAATAGGTCATATATTGTGCATGCAAAGAGAAGTGGGGTGCAGGAAGTGAACACAGAAAGTGTGGGACAGTATATTGAGCTGGAGAGTAGAACAGAGAATTGGGTAAGATTGTAGGGAAGCATATATTAATTTCAGATAAAGTATTAAAAATAAAAGTCAACTCATGTGAATAATTTTGTTTTCCTCCCTTCCCTCCCTCTTTCCCTCCTTCCCTCCCACTTCCCACACTTTTTAGCAAGCTGAGTGGACATTAAGAGATTGGTAAATGGTACAATGCAAAGAGAAGGATGTGGTATAAGAATCTTCAAGGTGAAGTGGCACTTGTCTGGAAGTGGTGTTAGATTGTGAAAATCAGGTACACCCTAGTTAAGATAAATAGTATTTCTCAAAAACAAATACATAGACAATTTTAAAAGAAATGAGGAAATGTAATAAAAATTGCAGCATGAAAGATGAAAGATTAAATACACTGTCACGTAAAGTTTTAAAAGGCAAGTTCTGGATCATGTATTTGTCTCATGATGCTTATAGCTGTTTTCTGACTACAAACAAACATTCCAGGGAGTAAGATATGAAGTAAATATGTGAAAACAAAGAAAGTCTAGAAAATAAAAATGTTTTGGCAAATGTAAAAATATTTCTTTTCCTATGTGTGATGAAATAAAATTAGGTTTAATATTTAATTTTTCTTTTATCTGAGATTTTCATTTCTTATAAATCAGAAAAACTAATGAAGTAGTATAGCATTTTATTGCTATAAATATGTCTTCAGAAAATATAAACTAATAAAAAATCAACACATGACTAAGCAAGAAGAGAGCCCCCAAATAATCAAAAAACATTTACATTGAAACTTGAAGAAAAGTGCAGTGTTTTGAATCAAAATACTAGTAAACTCAAAATACTAGTATAATACTAGTAGCACTATCCTCCCGTTGTTCATCGATTTGTTTGAGAGGGCACCAATAACATCTCTGTTGTGAGACTTGTTGTTACTGTTTTTGGCATATCGAATACACCATGGGGAGCTTGCCAGGTTCTGCCATGCGGGCGGGATACTCTCGGTAGCTTGCCAGGCTCTTCGAGAGGGGTGGAGGAATCGAACCTGGGTCAGCCTCGTGCAAGGCAAACGTCCTACCTGCTGTGCTATCACTCCAGCCCTAGCAAGATAAAATTAAGTTAGACTAAATATAGATTTTGCTCTTCCTAGATCTATGAGATGATCTAAAGTTTATAGATTAGGGTAAAACATTTAAAAATAGCAAATAAATTATTTGAAGACTATTCATGGTCACGATCCTCCCGTTGTTCATCAATTGCTTGAGCGGGCCTAGTAATGAATCCATCGTGAAAAAAAATTAATGGTTGATGTATTTACCTATTTAGCACACCCAGAGGTGCTTAGGGCTTTCTCCTAGCTCTGGTTTATGGATCACTCATGGTGGGGCTTGAAAAACCATATGAGTGCCAGGGGTTGAACCTTGGTCAGTCACAAGCAAGCAAGCACTCTGCTCTCTGTATTATTGCCCCAACCCTAAGATTTGAAATATTTAAAAGTCTATTTAAGAATTCTAGGAATAAAAAGAAAAAATAAAAATATTTTATGTAAGTGAAAAAAATTGATTTGAAAGTATCGTCTAAGATTAATGACTAACACTGACTTTTTTTTTCTTGTGTCTCTGTAGTTGTAGATAATAAATGGATCTTAATGACAATGGTTTTAAACTATAACTTTTATAAGTTAAACTATAACATCTGTTAGAAAATATGAGAACAATTTTGAAAGTTATCAAGTCTTAAGAAAAAATTCCTGATAATGTAATCAAACTAATAAGTTATATTTGATCAGAAATTATTCCATTCCCATTAGTAATTAAGATTTAATTAATATTTATTTTTATTCCTTCAAGTTTTAGACTCAGTCATACTCAAATGCATTTTAATATATATTTTTAACTTTATTTCTGTAAATATTTCCCACACAACTGGAACCCAAAAAGGAGAAAGAGATAAAAGATGCCCTGTGAATGTCTTTATTTACCCCTCTGCATTTTGACATGCTACAGATTCTCAAAATTTTACAGCACACAGAGTTAAAATAAGATGCATATTGTGTTTGAAGATATTAATATTATCTGCTTATAACAAATCAAAAATAGCTCTAGGTATAAAAAAATCACTCCTTAGAAAACTTTGACTAATGTTGGAAATTGAAATTGAACAACTAATCTTTTATCTTGCAACTGGGAAATTTTAGTAATGGAAAGGAAATTTTTTTTCTTTTTGTGTCACACCCAGTGATGCACAGGGGTTACTCCTGGCTCTGCACTCAGGATTACTCCTGATGGTGCTCGGGGGACCATATGGGATGCTGGGAATTGAACCCGGGTTGGCTGTGTGGCTGCGTGTAAGTCAAATGCCCTACCCGCTGTGCTATTGCTCCAGCCCCAAGGAAAGGAAATCTTTAAGAGAGCTAGTCACGTCCAGTTTCACTTCAGTGGATACATACTAACATTTAATTTTAGAGATGAGAAAAAACTTCTCCTATTATGCAATAGTAAATTTACCTCTTGAGGAAGAGTTTGATTCTATTTAGAGATTTTAAACCAGTTAACATTACATAGAAAACACACATAAATGACATATCATAAATAACGCATCACTAAATTTTGATGCTAGAAAAATATATTATACTAATAATTTGGTAACACTTTATAAATTCAAGCACATATAAGCAAGAGCTTTTTGAAATTTCAAGTCTTTTGAGAAAATTTAGTTCAGGGGTGAGATAGAATAAGGAAATGTGGTTATCTAACAAAATTTCATTCTTGTTATCACAATATCATCAACTCTGTGGAAAGCTTCTAGTTGATATTTTTTAAATAGTAGCAGAGGGTTATCTTTTAAAGTACTAAATTCAGTTAAAACTAAGTGATATTATTTTACTGAACCTTTCTATTTTCCCACTCAACATTTTACATATTCTAAAAGCATTTTTTAAAATTCCCTTAAAAAAAACTCCCCCAAAGCTTAACCATACTGCAGGCTTTTATTTTTACAGCTCACCTTAAGTAAATCACTTTTACTTAAGAGATGTGTAATAAAAAGCTGGATAAAAATGAATAACAGTTAGTAAAACCACAATCTGTAAACATGATGCAGTTTCATCTGCTTTCCAGGAAGGCAATTTACTACTCGTGATAACCATGCCAGATGGACACTTGGCTAATTTTATTTTATTAGGTGAGAGCCATAGTGGTAAAAGGGAAAATAGGTGAGTGTGATAACCTGCAACCTTACATATAGGCAATATTCATTAATATTGCATTTCCCACTAAACAAAAACGAGAATCAGAAAAGTCCTTGAATCTATAGGAATTTTGGCAGAAGCCAGTTCTCAGGATTCAGGCTCAGACTGCCAGTTTCCCCAAACATATCTGACCCTGATGCCACACTCTTAGAGAGTTTCCTTTCCAACAAACACTTCCTAATTTGAGGTGTGTTTTAAGTGCAGCAATTAAGGTAGAAGTACTTGGTGGGTTGATGACTTGGATATGTGGGTCAGAATTTTTAAAATGAAATAAGAGGTTAATGTTGAACTGAATATGTGGTTTTCATTGAAATTACCTGTGAATTTTAGGTCATTTGGCACAATTTAAACCCCAATTTAGACTCTTTTGGAACAGTCCAAATTCTTCCCACATACATGGGCATGTTGTTGCATGTTCTTATTTGAATGTTGGCAAATTGAAGCAAAGCAAGATGAATTATTTTTATTGGCATCTTTAAGCCACTGTTTTTTTTTTCTGGTGACCAAGTTTTGTCGATTCCATGTGCTGAAGATATGCTCCAGGCCACATAGAAGCAAAAACCCAAAGGCCATAGAGTTAAAAGGAGGCCCTTGCTAAAGTTTTAATTCATGATCATAATTCCATTAGTATTTATATGAGAAAACTTACAAATGCTATGGAGAACTCTCCCCCAAAGCACTGATATTGCCTATTTTTCCCTTTTGCTCCACAAATACCTTAGCATCTAGCTGTGATTGATAAATCACACTGCTCGGTTTTTTTGTGGTGGGAATTGAATCTAAATGACAATTTCTGAGAAACAGTGCTGGATTCCTGGCTACTTGGTATACTGTACTGTACTGTACTTTGTAATACGACTCCGGGCTGTGCTAGGAGAGGCTGATCCGACTGTCTGGCTAAAGTGATGGTCAGAGGAACTCCTCATGTGGCCAATGGTGGCTGTCCCGCCCATGCTGCTGCTCATGCCCCCGCCTCCTCCCATACCACTTAACCCAATGCCACCACTGCTCATTCCAACTCCACTGAAGCTGTTACTGGCACCCATGTTTGTGCTCATCAGGCCACTGCTGACTGTGCCACTTCCTCCACTCATACCACCCTGGCCACTAATCCCAGTCATAGCTGAACCAGAAACTACCCTCTCTGTCACAATCACATTGTGGGCATTTGATAAGTCGGGGTGCATACTCAGATTGCCCATCATGCCAGAAGTTGGTCGGATTACTCTTTCTGTCACTACTACATTGGATGAATCCCTAGGATCAGGGATAGTCAAAGAGGTGGGTAGACTTGAACCTGGAGCAATTACCCTTTCTGTCACTATCACATTTGATCCATCTCTCAAGTCAGGCATATCTAACATTCCATGAAAATCAGCACCAGAGATTGGACCAACCACCCTCTCGGTTACCACCACATTTGATCCATGTCGATTATCATGAATGTGAACAGAGGGCTTCAGAGTGCCAGAGGTGGTGTAAGACTCGGTCACAGTGACATTACCATAGCTCAGAGGATCAGGAATTTGCATAGGATGCTGTACACCAGGTCCTGAGGGGTAACTCTCAGAAATTACTGTGGTAGTGCCAATATGTGGGGACATCGGTGGGTGTCCATTATACATGGGCTCTAGGCCCTGCTGAGGGCAAATTGGTTCAGTGTTGTCAGGTGGCCAAGTGGAATCTGGGTATGGATAGTCTTCAACTTCTTTTCCCAAACTGATATCTGCCAACTTCTTAAATTTGGGCCCAAGAGTATCCAAGAAGCTGTCATCAAAGTCTTCTCCAATGAAGCTACAGCAACCCACAGAGCCAGCAGGTGACCCTACGCCTTCGATATCATATATAAGCAAACAGTCATTGGATGGGCGTCCTTCATCTTCGTCTGCATACGCATATGCTTTCTGAATTTGTAGAGAAAATAGAAAATTAGTTAGGAATATGTATTAAATAATAATCTTTATCATTATTTTATTTCCCATGACATTAACCAGGGAGGAAAGAAAATTCTGTTCTCTACTGTTTTAAAAATCATTATATATTTTCTTGAATTTACTTTTAGAAAATCTTGTTTTGTTTTTTCTTTTTTTTTCTTCTCATTGTTGGTCCTTTGTGCTGAGAGATTATTCCCGACCCTTTGCTCAGAGATCACTCCTGCTGTTAATCAGGGTTATAAAAATGTGGTGCGAGGGATTAAACTCAGATTGGATGTCTAAGACAAACACACACTTCCTGTACCATCTTTCTGACCCAGTAAATTCTAGAATTTAAAGAAAAAAATTTTAAACTTTATCACAACGAAACATTTTGATTATTAAAATTTGCATATGGAATTTCTACATAACAATATCTGTTGAACAAAATATACAAGAAAAATAAAATAATTTTGTAATCAAGTTGAAAAGAGACACATAAAAATGTGTCTTTTTAAGTACACAAAACTGTAGTTTTTAAAGCTACTTAAAAGTTCATTTGGGTTCACTTGGGACTATGTTTTTCTTCCCTCGGAATGAATATTGTGGTTCTGTGAAATTATTCAGTGTGGTTTTCAGTAAAATAATGAGAATTTCACTGTAAAAATGTCACTTTTGGATTCAAAATTAAGATGACCAGGGACATTTTTTAGAAGTAGAATATTCAGTTCAAAATGAAAGTCCATGGATATGTGTACTTTTGTTGCTTTCCAACGTACTGGATTGCAAACTTCCAGTTTTAGAATTAAAAAAAAATAGTAGACCTAATCATTTCATAAAAAATAGGAAATTTATCTACTTTCCAGATATCTACTTGGCAATAGAGTAATGAGAAAAATTGGATAGAATCCATCTCTCATAAGTCTTAAGAAGATAAGAAAGACAATCTAAACCAAGACCTGTTTGTTAGGTGGTGGTAAGAGCAGGATAGGTGATAATGTTGGGATACTTTTAGCTGGGACAATCAGGGATGGAAACATGTACAGTGAAGTTGATCAGAAACTGGAATGAGTGGCAGAGCAGAGGATGTTGATTGGCTGCCCTATGCAAAAGCAACTGGAAATGCAATGATTGTCTCATAATCATACTTTTAAAGAAGATAATGAAGATAATAGGGACACAGGAGCTATTGCTATGGACTACAAGCAATAAGTTTATCTTGTTTATTGTTATTTGAAAGTCCTTAATTAGTATTTTATTTAAAAATATTTGCCACTCTCTGAATGGTTAGTAGAGGTAATAAATGTATGTTAGGTCAGAACACACAGAATGTAAATATCTGAAAGACAAAAATTTCTTAAAGCCTTGTGTAGAAAATAGTACGTAAGCAAAGGCAACTGTGTCTCTACCTGGGCATCTAAAATTAATTTTTATATGCTACTAAATGGTTTATAGCATATAAAATATTAATATTTTAATATTATTTATTATTATTATTAAATGGTTTAGAGTGGAGTGCAGCTCTTGAATTCATTTTTAATGAAGCTTACACAATGCTTGTATTACAAAGCTAGAACCTAACTCAAACATTAACATTTAAAGTTAGGTTTTAGCATAAACTAACATATGGAAAGGGCATTAGAAACAGTGATATATATAACAGAAATTATGACAATATATCCAATTATTATCAAAGTTCTCCAGAGATACAGATAAGTAAATGGCAATATTTTGGAAGTGGGGGAAAATTTCAACAGTAAAACTTCAGAGTGGTAGTGGTATTTTAACCAGAATAGGGAGCTGAGTAGATGAGAGAGAAAGAGAGAGAGAGAGAGAGAGAGAGAGAGACAGAGAGACAGAGAGAGACAGAGACAGAGACAGAGTGACAGAGAGAGATTGGAATGATAGCTGGATGGGCATAGAATGAGTAGAAGGTATGGAGGGGACTAAACCCTTTGTGAATAAGGTTAACTAAGATTCTTAGCAAATGGGTCAGTGGTGAATAGCTACTGAAGATGTAAGGGAAGGGAATGTTGGGTGGTGATAAGCCTTATGGCTCTAGACAAAATGAACTGGGAACCACTGATCATTTTATTTATTTATTTATTTATTTATTGAGAGAGAGTGGGAGAAGTGAAATTTCTCACCACTTTCTTTTTTTCCTTTTTTTTTTTTTTTTGGCTTTTTTGGTTACACCCGGTGATGCACAGGTCATACTCCTGGCTTTGCACTCAGGAATTACTCCTGGCGGTGCTCCAGGGACCATATGGGATGCTGGGAATCAAACCCCGGTGCGCCTGTGCAAGGCAAATGCCCTCCCTGCTGTACTATTGTTCCAGTCCCACCACTGGTCATGTTAAACAGAGTAAAAAGTGCTCAGGTCAATTCTGGAATTACTAAGCAGCAATACAGACTATCAGACATAAAGACTGTCTGAAAACTTAGTTCGAAGATACCTGCTAAAGCCTCATTGGGGAAATAGAAAGAATCTGGAGTAGAGAAGCGGGTCTAGGATGGAGAGAGAGGCTTTAACTAGAGACCTTACCTGACAGAAGTAACTTTCCATGAAGTTCATATTCAGACCTCCTTCTCTACATTCTCTCATAGAATTTCTTCTGAGTGTTCCCGAATAGTCTTGGCATATATCCGGTGCTGTTTTAACACCTTCACTTAACTCAAATCCAGTTGTTCTATCTCCTCCTCCTAGATCTTGCATTTCTCTGCCACAGTACTCATTTGTGTAAACTCCTAAAAAATTCAATCAAATTAAATTTACTTTTGCTAATGTGTTATAGACTAAATAACGTAATATAACTTTAATTTAATTTAAATTAATTAAATTAATTAATTTAGTTTCTAAATAAATTTAAATTTTTTAAATTAATTTTATTTTTGTGAGGAAGAATGAAATGAAGGTGACACATACAAAAAGAATAGAATAGATATGATATTGAGTTAGAGCAAGTTGTTAATTATTAATCAGTTTTAAATTTCCTAATCGTTTATTGGGAGATGGCTTACTACATGTTGTAATGGAAGAGAAGGGGATTATAGTGATTACAAAAACTTATTCTTTCAGAATTTGATTTTAGATGAAAGAAAATTGGAGAAAATTCCCAAAGTCTAAAAATTTAAAAATGTAAAAATCTCAATAAGATAATAAAACTCTCCTATAAGAATACCATATGAGATAATAATGTAAGAATTTCATATGAAAATCTCATTCATAAGAATATCTCTCAGATGTGGGATATTAAGAAACATAGTGAGAGAATAAAACAAAATGGTCAAAGGCAATAGAATTTGAGAACTTGTCCACAGAACTGAATTTACCATTAAAGTGAGACAGGAGGCAGGGTGTTGGAACAGTGGAGGGTGTGATGTTGAAACAGTGTATGCATGAAATTGTATCATTAACAGTATTTTAAATCACAGTGGCTGAAATACACACACACACACACACACACACTATTGTGCTGTTAGAAGCAATAATATTTCAGAAAATGTAAGAAAACGGATTTCAGAGAAGGGATTATGCTTATATTCAGAGGAAATATTTGTAAGAACCCTGGATTTGCACTCAGATACAAAGATTGAGTAGAAGATTGTTGCTGTTTTTGTGGTAGGTAGCATAAAATGATGGCCCATACCAATAATGGAAATACCAGTGTTGATGGTGTATCCTTATGGCTTTCCATAAAGAAAATAAGATTTTGGTTTTAAAAAGTGTGTCATTGTGTTTTGCTCAAGGTTAGTTAAAAGATCTGAGACTCCATGATATAATACACATTAATAAATACTAGTGGATATGATGTTTTGACATCTTCAGCACTGATGGATGTCAGTTAACAGAGAGATATGAGTCAACAATGAATTTGTGCTTCTGAGGTGGAAAGTTATTGGCATTACTTATAAAAAGGAAGAAAAGTAGACTTGAAAGGCCAAGTCTTTGAAAAGATTCTACTCCATTTTGTGAATACTCCAATGTGTCTCATTTTAAAGAATTTAATATATAAAAGTCTGTAGCACTGTAGCACTGTCCTTCTGTTGTTCATCGATTTATTTGAGCGGGCCCAGTTAACGTCTCCATTGTGAGACTTGTTACTGTGTTTGGCATATCGAATACATCATGGGTAGCTTGCCAGTCTTTGCCGTGCGGGTGAGATACTCTCGATAGCTTGCCGGGCTCTCTGAGAGTAATAGAAAATAGTAATAGAAAAGCCGTAATTTCAAATTTGAAAATGACTGAGAAAAAATTAAATAATCAAAACCATTTTCTTATCTTGAAAAAACACATTTTGGTACAACCCTTTTCAAAGATTTGTAAAGTTTTTAAAAAATTATCAGAGTAATAATCTGCTTACTTTGAAATTCTAATTTCCCCCTGGTTTCTGCCTGTGAAAGAGCAAGTGAATTGTTTTAAGGCAGGTTGAATTGATAATCTATCCCATGAACAAAAGGAAATTTTTTATGTGCACAACCAAGAACTGTGAAAGATTTTGAATGTGCTCTATCTGCTTATTTTCAATTTAAGAAACTGGATAGCTTATTCATTCTTTTTAGGTTCACACATAATGCTGAGAATGCTTTGTCATAAGCAATTAAGTCAGAGTTGTTTTGAATCATTCATGAGTTGTGAAAGTGAATTCTAGCCTCAGTGAGTGAACACAGATCCACAGATTTGTGTTTTTATTCATTTGGGTGAGTGTCCTAAACAATGTTCAGGTTGCCTGGGGGGCTGCTCATAGCAAAACTTGGCTAACTGAGCCAGATGTTCAGTGCTTGGCCTGGGGATGCTGTGTTTCTCAGGATCAGAGGTGCTCATGGACCTCCAGGCTGCATCTGGTGGTATGGGGGAAAACTTGGGGTGGGGGTGGGAATGGAATACAGTGCTGATCAAATTTGTTCATACAGAATGAATGATCTATACTTCAACCCTTTGTGCTATTCCCCTGACCCTGATAGAGGTCAATTTTTTGTTTGTTTGTTTTTGGTGGTATTATTCTTGCTGTTACTCAGGGATTATTCCTGACCCTGTGCTTAGGAATTGCTCCTGGAGGATTTGGGCATCATATGGGGGGGGTGGGGTTGAACCCAGGTGGCTATATGGAAGCCAAGGTACTCACACTGTACTATTTCTCTGGCCCAATTCAGACATATTTCAGTGGGTTATACTTTTATTATAATAAGAATTTTTGAGCAAGCATACATTAGTTTATTAGACAAAAACTCAACTGAAGTTGACCCATGGTTACAATTCAATTCTTCCCTTCTATTTAAGAGGCCTCAATCAGGTCAACTCATAAGTACTTTCTTATAATTGAGAAACACTTTAAAAAATTTAATATGATCTGTAAAGATAATATAGGGAGATAAAGTGCTTGCTTGCATGATCTGTAGTGGCCATGACCCTGGTTTGAATTTCTGCCACCAACTATGGTGCCCTGAACACTGACAGGCATTACACCTGAGGACTAACATTCCCCAATAAAAGAAAAATTGTAAAGTAGTAGATTAAGACATAAGAATAATTACTGTAGATTTTACCTACTATGCAATTTGAAAATTATTTAGTGGAAGAAAAATGATAGAAACAATTTTAAAGAATAGATCATTGAAAATATGTAAGATATACAGGAGAGAGAATGGAATTCTTTTAGATATTTGGGCTGTTAAAAATATTTTTACCTGAATTATCAATGCACTCAATTATATTTCCATTATCAGGAGGCATTTGTGGTACACAGATAGTGGCCAAATCCTAAAAGAAAAGACACATTTTCTCAATTGTTGATCTGTTTGTTCTCAGACTACTTTATATTTTCTAAAAGAATACTAAGAAACTTAGTTTTAAAATCCCTTTGAGGCCCAAATCTCATAAGAAAGTCTGTTTTGGTTACAGATTTCTAATTTCGATGTACTTTTAATTTTTCTCCATCTTCTCCATTGCCTTCCCAGAGGAAGGAATAGCACAGGCTGTGAGTGATTGTCAACATCTGGGTTCTCTTGTGAAAGACCAAGTTTAGATGACTCTCAAAGGCCATTTCAAATAGATTGTTAGCACTTACCGTCATTTCAGGCTGTGGTCCTTCTAAAGCCCAGGGCTGAATTGCTCCTTCTGAACATTCTGGAACAGGCTCAAAACCAGCTCCACCACCAGGGGCACCTCCACATTCACAACACATCAGCAAAAATGGTACCACTAATAGTGAAAGGAGACAATATTGGAATTAGCAGTGGGGCTATGTGGAGAGAAAACAACTTAGGTTAATGGTATTTGAATTCCTAATGTAACAGTGAGTCTAATTTTTTAATAAAAGTTTCAGAAAATACACTGTATAGTAATATGACAAAATTATTCTGATCTGCAATGTATTAGACTATCATCAATTTTAATTTGTCATATAGTATTTATAGTAAGATATTATTATGTCTTTACTATAGATTATTTGTAGGTAAAGGTAAGGTAAAGGCCCTCCCGTTGATCGTCGATTTGCTCGAGCGGGCCCAGTAACGTCTCCATTGGAGACTTTGTTGTTACTGTGTTTGGCATATCGAATACTCTCGGTAGCTTGCCGGGCTCTCCGAGAGGGGCGGAGGAATCGAACTCGGGTCGGCCATGTTGGCTGCGTGCAAGGCAGACGCCCTACCCGCTGTGCTATCGCTCCAGCCCCTGTGCTATCGCTCCAGCCCTTATATTATTAAAATGGATACCTTTCCCCTCTCACTACATAGGAAAATAGTAAAGGAGAGAAAAGAATAGTTGGAGAGGTCAGACATTGTTCTAGAGGAGGTTATTTCCCTTTAAATATCTATCTGTTTTGTTTTGTTTTTGGACCAAATCCCATGGTGCATAAGGCTTACTCTTGACTATGTGCTCAGTGCTCAGTTCTAGCAGTACATGGTAGATCATATGCAGTGCCAGGAATCGAACTGGGGTCAACTGTGTGCAAGGCAAGTGCCTTAACTCTGTACTATGTCTTCAGTTCTGATGTCTTTTTTCTGAACTTGTGCACAATCAGAGAACACTGCATTGATTAGCAATGTTCCTTTCTGCTGATCAGTTGTACTTGTTTCATTCATAGATAAGCATTTCTAACACAGAAAGACACAATACAATGTTGATGATAGAATCAAACTGATAGCTAGATTCGAAGGATATATAAATTTAAAATGTGAAGAAGGAAGAAAAAGAAAAGAAAAAAAGAAGGAAATAAGGTAACTGGAAAGAAGGTAGTAAGCGTAGATATCGGGAAACATGGAAAGAAAGAAAGGAGAAAAGGAAGAAAAGAAAGTCAAGGAGAAAAGAAAGGATGAAGGAAGAAGGAAGAAAAGAATGAAGAGGAAAATGTCAAGTGCTGAGTTTTTATTATAAATACTCTAGATATCGTTTTTCAATCTTGAACTAACTCTACTACCCAAAGGGATGTACTGATATGAAAAAAAAATCTAAAATTTATAATAGCTATATACTACTTCTATGGTACATAATAAGATACTGAGTACTTATTTTTGTAAAGTAATTTTAAAGTTTTAAAATATTGATATTATGAATACAAAGTGATACCAAAGAAATAATTTCTCATATATGAATTTTATGTTATATTCTCAAATCTGATAATTTTTATTAACATCATTTTAATTTGTTATGAAACGATAGGAATGAAATTCTATTACTTAATATAAAAATTGTTTTTAAAATATATTTTGATTTCTAGAAAAAGAGTTCCAATGTTTAATTGTGATATCAAAATACCTAAACTCTTTTTCAATTAGGTGAATTGAATCTTGACTAAAAGTTTTTAAGAGGGTGAAATAATAATGAAAAGAAATAATGCAGTTTACTAAAATTTTAGTGTTGCTTTATATTTTATGGCTGATAATGTGATAAGAAAGTAAAACTAGGGAAATATCTACTATTTGTATTCTAATTTTATTTTTGGTGTATATTTAAACTAACTAATAAAATTATAAAGTCACTATGAAATTATGATTATATGATTCTATATTTTTAAATGATGGTTTTTTTGTTTAATTTAATTATAAAGCGCAGAGTCCCACCTATATAATTCAGAGCTCCTCTATTCTCACGGATGTATAATCTAGCATAATTTCACTATATCTTTATGTTTTATTTTTTTGGGCCACACCTGCTGGTGCTCATGGTTTACTACTTGCTCTGCACCCAAGGATTAGTCCTGGTAATGCTTATGGGAATGTACGATAACATTGGTTTGCCCTTCCTCCTTGGCCACAGGGAGCTTGGGTTTGTTGATTGCTCCTATAAACTGTCAATTACCTTTGCCTCCTGATCAGTCTCTGCTGACTTGTAAATATTGTCTTTCTCTTCTCCTTAATGTCCTTTGCATAGTTAGTTAATTCAGAGCAATTACTTTTTGTATGGACACAGAAAGATAGTTAAAAAGATAAATTTAAAACTTGGGAGTTAATTGACTCCAGATAATATACCTCCTGGACATCTGCTCTCTCAACTTAAGCCTCAGTTGTCCTTACTTCCTATATCCCCAAAATCAGGGTCCCAACGAAGGACTGGATGGACCCAGGGAAAGTGGTGAGCTACCCTGGCATTGAAATGGGCCTGGCCAAAGTGCCCTAATGCTTAACTATAAGTTAAGAGCATGGTCATGGAAAAATTCTGTCATGAACCAAAAAGTAATAACTAGGGCTGGAGTGATAGTACAGTGGGTAGGGTGTTTGCCTTGCACATGGCTTACCAGGTTCGATTCCCAGCATCACATATGATCTCCTAAGCGCTGCCAGGAGTAATTCCTGAGTGTGTGAGCCAGGAGTAACCCCTGTACATTGCCAGGTATGACCCAAAAAGCAAAAAAATAAAAATAAAAGTAGAACTTCAAAAAAAAGTAATAACTAGATTTGGACCCTGCTAGGGTTAGGAATGATTAATCAGGCCTGAGCACTGTAGTCTGAGTCTGTGGCGAGATGTCTCCAGGAGAGGCTAATTGTGTCTATTACTGTGTCCATACAGAATGGCAAATATTAGGAAGTAGAATTAAGACATTAATTAAGTTACAGGTCTAATGAGAGGAGAAACACACCTTAAGTGCTGTTTTGCCCTCCTGAGCTGCAGGTGGTCAGAAAGTCTTGAAAAACATGTTAATTGTGCTTCCCTAGGGGAGGTGTGATTTGGGAGGTGTGGAGAGAGAAGAGCCAGTAAAAGTGGTGGCTGCCAAGAGGAGAGGGAGGTAGAGAGTTGGACAGAGGCAGAGTGGGAACTGTCGTCAGAGTGGAGAGACAGATGTATCGAGTGAGAGTTGGAGAGAGCATTGTGGAGTGAGTTAGATAGAGGGTTGGAGAGAGCTGAGAGAGAGAGAGAGAGTTGTGAGTTTGGGAGAGAGTTGAGAGAGTTTGGGAGAAACGAGAATGAATAAATGGCAACTAATCACCAACCAGCTTGGCCCTCACTCCTCCTTTGTCGGCCCAAGGCAACGGCCATCCCAGTTGGGAAAGCGGTTAGAGAGCACCGAACGTGGGCGGCAAGAGAGAGCTGCCTGGAGAGCCTGCGAACATGTGTGAGCATTCCTAGTGTTACCCAGGTAAAAGATGTTTACACAGACCAGGCAAAAGGAATTTACACAGCACCAGGAAAGGTGCTTACACAGGGGACCATTTGTGGAACTGAACTCAGGACTCCTGCATGCAAGGCAGGTACTGTACAATAGATCAGGCCCTTTTTCTCTACATTTTTCATTGGCATCTATGACAATGTGAAAGTCTACCTGGAGAATCCATTGGACATAATACACCAAAGTGAGACCTTTACTAGAACTACTCTCTCTGGAGTAAGTGCTTCTGTGGGTGGCACTTCTTTTTATCATCAAAGCAATGTTATGAAGTGTTATTTTATAAATGACAGCATTGAGGCTCATTTTTGTTCTGAGTTTTTAAAGTTTATTTGTATTTTGTTTTGGGGTCACACCTGCCAGTGTTCAGGACTAACTCCTGGCTCTGTGGTCAGGGATTGCTCCTAGCAGTGCTGAAGGGACCTTATATAGTGGGTCAGCTGTATGCAACGCAAGTGCTTTACCCGCTGTACCATCTCCATGACCCTAGTTCACTTTTGAAAGACTCATGCAATTAAATTTAGAAGCTGAAGTTGAATTCAGTCTCCTTTCACTTTGCCGTGTTAACACATTTTGAAATCTCTTCAAGGTCCAGTCTGTCTTTCTACCATTCTAGTCCCAGCACTCTCTACTGTACTGTGAGGCATATCCTTTCTTTCTTTTATATTGGAGTCCTTCTTTTCAGAAAGTTTAACTCATTTTTTAGGAGCTTTACACACAAGAAATTTTTCTTGCACTGTGATTCCCATTGGGCAAGCTTCTATTCATCACTTAAATCCTCAGTCAGAATTCATTGCTCTGTATAACCTTTTTATTCTGATTCTTTCAATCTTTTCTTTATGATTGTATTCTACATGCTATTTTAAATGTGAACCTCCATATCATGGTACCTACCCAGTACTAAACATAGATATATTGTTATAATTGCACAAGACAATAGTTTGTAAAATATATTGTACCAGAAGTAAGAAAACTTAATTCCTTCCCAGAAAGGTTTTAGGGGGCATATGTAAATAAGACTGTTGAAGTACTTACGTCCTAAGACCAAGAATCCCATGATGAGCAGTCCAATACCAGCAGGACCAAAATGTACATTATCTGCAGTACCTTGCTGATAAATTGTTCCTTCACCAGTTCCTAAAGTACCAGTGGTTCCTCCAATGTCACCCCCACCAGCTTCTGTGTTGGTTTCAATATCAGAACCACCAGTAGTGGAACCATTGTTCATATTTTCTCCATTTGTGTTGCCACCATTTGTTTCACGATCCTCCACCCAGCCTGAACCATCAAGGTCAATAATAATTGTACCAGTACAAGTTCTTTGAAGATTATCTGTAACAGATTTTACAACAAAAAAGATATTTCACATGTTTAGGAAATAACCTAAGGATAACATATAGCATTGTAGCACTGTAGCACTCTCCTCCCATTGTTTATCGATTTGCTCGAGAAGGCACCAGTAACATCTCCATTGTGAGACTTGTTGTTACTGTGTTTGGCATATTGAATACGTCACGGGTAGCTTGCCAGGCTTTGCCGGGAGGGCGAGATACTCTAGGTAGCTTGCCAGGCTCTCCGAGAGGGACGGAAGAATCAAACCCATGTCAGCCCCGTGCAAGGCAAACGCCCTACCTGCTGTGCTAACGCTCCAGCCCAAGGATAACATATACCTATTATATTTTTGATTACAATTCAAATAATTGATAAATATATGAATTTAATAGATGTTTATTTTTTCCACAGTTTCATTTAATTTCCATATTGTTACTTGTCATTTTTTTAAAAATATGAGCCTCATGCATATTAGTGCTCCTGAGAAGCTGTCACCTGTGAGAAGTGGAAACAGTCAGTGCCACATTATGCATTGTCCAGTGGTGTGTGACAAGGTACAGTGGAGGCACTTCCAGATTATTTCTCACATACTTCTTTATCTAGTCATTAGATTTGTTTGTTCTTTTACAGACCTCCCTCTTGGATTAACATGTTGTAAGCTGACTAGTTAGTCATTTCTACAGAGATCTGCTATTGCTAAAGCATCAGACCTCTAAGGTAAAAGACATTAGTTTCAGCAATTTGTAGGTGAGGGAACTGGTATTGTATGAGATGCAGTAACTCTTTTATATTAGAAAATAAAGCAGTTTTACAGCAAGTTGAGGTGTCATTTACACACACATATGTGTATAAGTTCTTTTGTCAGATTTTGTCAATTGATGTTGGTCATGTAGATATTTACATGAGCATAGCTGGATGTGGCCCCCAAACACAAACAAAAAATCCTTAAAACTTCTAAGTCAATTTTTTTACAGTCCCATTGTAAAGAAGAGAAGGCTGAATTGTAGTTAGGAAAAATAATTTCTTTAAAATATCAGGACCGGAGATAATAAAGGGTCAATTGCTTAGTATGATGTCAATGCTGGTTCAATCCCTGGTATTACTCCTGAGCGCAAAATCAGGAATAGTTCTGAACCCCTTGGGGTGTACTTCAATTCCTCTTGACCCCCAACCAGATGGTTTGTAAATGATATTAATTCTTTCTCACTACATAATTCTATGATTTATTTATTGTTTTTTTTTTTTTGGATACCCCTAGTGGCTATGTACTCAGGACTCCAGGAAATTTTTGTAGAACTATTTGTGATACTGGGGATTGGCCTAGGGTGTGTTGTGTGCAAGGTAAGTGTCCTGTACTACTTTTCCAGTCCGGGTAGCATATTATTAATGTTTTGATTTTCATATTATTAATGTTTTGATTTTATTATTTTCAGTATAACTTTGTTGAAAGTTAGATTGATTTAAAATGCAAGCATTAAAATTTTAACATCTAAGAATATCTCTAACTTCCCCTAGAAGTGGGGAGAAGTTAAATTGCTACTTACCATCTATAGATAAAATTGTTCCTTGGTATTTTCTATTAAGCATTTCAACTTGTGTCCAGGTAACTTTATTTTTTAAAGTAAGTGTGCCTGTTCTTGAGTCAACTACTAACAGGTCAGCAGGGTTATTTCCCATTACATATCTGTATTTGAGAGAAAACAATACGTATTACTAGAGTTACCTTAAAATATTTTGATTACCAAACCTAATTCTTTACTAATAGTTATGAATATAGTTCTAGATACAGATTTTCATTATGTGAGACTTAATTTAAATCAGGTAGTTCTAGTTGTTTGAGAGTATTCTGAAACGAAGATTAAGATTTTAAGGAAAAAGAATTATTGAGGAGCCACTTCTGATGGGATATTACTAATTCTCATCCAAATGTCAGAATAAGCCTTTGTATGTAGTCTCATTTGCACTGGATTTTGGAAGCATTAGTATTACATGGGTGATCCAGATCTAGGTTTTGATGGATTACTACTATTTCTAAACTGTCTCCTATCAAATATAGTCCCTCATCTTTGACCTTTATTGCTCTTCCTGATATATATAATGACTTTACAGAAGAGACTCCTTTTAACTTACAAATGATCTTGATCTGTACATCAATATTCCGTTCTCTTTCTTTTATCATCTTCAAACCTTAACAATCCCTTTTGATTTATGTATTTGACTAAACATTACATATGCAATATATACAATGCTGGTTAGATGCCTAGAGCCATGTGCTGGGAGTAGGATGGAAAGTTGTGGGAGAGGAGTGGTCTTCCCTCGGTGAATTCACATCTTTGATCTTAAGAATGTCAGAAGTTATAGTCCAGTATGCTAAGAACTCTACTAGAATATTCAGATATGTGAGGAAAAAATAGAGAACTCTAAAAAATGTCATTTATGATATGTTTATTTCCTTATATCTGTCTACATGTTACTTATAAGCATTAGTATGAAATGCTTTACAGAGAGCCCGGAGATGTTTCGGAGAGCCTGGCAAGCTACCGAGAGTATTCGATATGCCAGACACAGTAACAACAAAGTCTCCAATGGAGACGTTACTGGGCCCGCTCGAGAAATCGATGATCAATGGGAGGGCCTTTACTTTACTTTACTTATGAAATGTTTGAGCACATATACTCAGATATTCTGATCAACTAGAAATATTTGGATAAGCAGAGCTTAAAAAGATATGTGGCACACTCTACCATTAATATATTTCTTTTGATACCAAAATTATATATTGATATTAAGTGCAAAGGAAAGTGAGGGAAGTGAATGAAATGAGCAAACTAAATCTAACTGATTTCAGACTGATAAAATTTGCAGAGAAATCTGTCCATAAAATTTTCCAAGAGGAAAACAGCATGACCCATTAATTGGTCAATAAAAAATGGTAACCAGACGTTTCAGACTTTAAAGACAATGTTTTCACAATTTATATCTTTTCATTTTTAATCTTATATCTTGCTCAAAATTTTACTCAAATTTAATAACAGCTTATTTAGTATTTTTTATGATTGAATATAAGTTTAAATTATTGAAATCTTTTAATTAAGAGACTTAGAATTTCTGAAATGAACATACATACTTAAATCAACTGTAGCACTGTAGCACTGTAGCATTGTCCTACCGTTGTTCATCAATTTGCTTGAGCAGGCCCAGTAACGTCTCCATTGTGAGACTTGTTACTGTGTTTGGCATATCGAATACATCACGGGTAGCTTGCCAGGCTTTGCCGTGCGGGTGAGATACTCTCAGTAACTTGACAGACTTTCCAAGAGGGGTGGAGAAATCGAACCCGGGCCAGCAGGACCAGCCTTATGCAAGGCAAATGCCCTACCATTGTGCTATCACTCCATAAATCAACATTTGGTGAAAATTAGTTAGAAACTGATTCTTACCTAACAGTTGTTGAAACTTGTTTTGTGTCCAGATCGGTGGCTACAAATTCTCCCAATCTATAATTCTGTCCCATGTTGCTATTTACTACAAATGTCTTTGAACCTGGACGGAACACTGAGCCTTCAATTACATTTGACACAGTCACAGAGATTGCAGTTGCTGTGAGTTTATATTGAGACATAATGGATTGATGAAATTCAGCTTTATTTCTAACACCAATACTAAGTTGCAGACTCTGCATTTCTTCATAATCTAGGGGCTAGAAAAAAACAAAGTAAAATATTTTTGCTAAAAGAAGAAAAAAATTCCAGAAGAAAGAAAAATTCTTAGAGAATAAGCAACAAATTTCTACATCTTTTTAAAAAGTACATATATACTTATGCATATATAACCAATTTGGAAGATATTTTACTTCTATCAAAGTGACTTTCAGTAAGTCAGGTGATTGAATATTATATTACATAGTAAAAGTAAGTCCTTATTTTTTCAACATCTCATGCAAATAATTTATAAGATAATCAAATATTTCAAAATTTTATGACATTCTCATTATGATAGTGTCAAGATCCACTAATCTTATTAAACTTATTAAACTTATAAATAATAAAATATTTCAAAATATTATGACATTCTCATTATGATAATGTCAAGATCCACTAATCTTATTAAACTTATTAAAAACACTTTGCTTTATGTCTATCGCTACCAAATATTTTGATTTATTGTTGCATTTTTGGTTTCTGAGTCACATGTGCTCACAGCTTATTTCTAGCTCTGAACTCAGGGATGGAACCAGGATCATCCACATGCAAGGCAAGCACCTTACCCACTGTATTATTTCTCTAGTCTTATCCCACATTTTTACATAAGAGTAATTTATATGACTATTGATTCACAATTTGAGCTCTCCATTTAGCTAAAAACTTCAAGATTTGTTAAAATTGATCTTATTTGAAATTATCATCATGGTTATAAAATAATATATACATATATATTATATACACATTCACATGTATAATCATAGCAGGTAATTGATATAGGAAATTACATCTGGGAGAAAGTCAACATCAATCCCATTTTACAGAATTATTGGTGTTGGGTAGACTAATTTATAAAGTACTGTATGTAGCACTGCACTATAGAACTGTCCTCCCATTGTTCATCGATTTGCTGGAGTGGGCACCAGTAACATCTCACAACTGTGAGACTTGTTACTGTTTTTGGCATATCAAACTCATCATGGGTAGTTTGCCAGGCTTTGCCAGGACTGTGAGATACACTCTGTAGCTTGCTGGGCTCTCTGAGAGGGGTGGAGGAATTGAACCCTCGTCGGCCACGTGCAAGGCAAACACCCTACCCCCTGTGCTATTGCTCCAGCCCAAAGTACTGTACATAGTCTGATTAATTTGATTAGGGTACTTTGCCCAGCATGTATTACTATTAGTGTGGTGCTGGAAATAATATGATGTTTATAGCTAGAGAAATCAAGGTTTGAATGCAAGATTTATGACTTATGAGTCATGAGAATGTAAGCAGGCACACACTATCTGGAACTCGCTACATTAATCTTCAATAAGTGCATATATATGTGAGGGATAACTAAAACATCTCCCTCCCTCCCTCCCTCCCTCCCTCCCTCCCTCCCTCCCTCCCTCCCTCCCTCTCTTTGTTCCGTCTTTCCTCCTTTCCTTCCTTTACTTTGGGGCTACACTCAGCGATGTGCACTGATTGTGCACTCAAGAATTATTCCTGGCAGTGTTCAGGGAACCATATGGGACACTGGTGATTGAACCCAGGTCAGGAGTATGCAAGGCAAACATCCTACCTGTTGTCCTATCTCTCCAGCCCACTAGATCATCTTTAAACTACCTCAAGAAATGGAAGCTATGGGAAAAGCTATAGTTATACTTTATGATGTCAAATGAAACACTCCTATGAGAACAGAATTCCTTAGGACTCAATTTCCAAAGGATATTCTGAAGAAGAAATTAATTTTAAAAGAAAGCATTTTGTTATGAGGATTGCTTATTGAATGCATCATCTGCAGTCCATGAATAGTGATGGCAAGTTTACTGACTTCCATTGTATTGGAAACCGTAATACCCAAAAGGGGGGGAGAGAAAAAGAGAGAGAGAGAGAGAGAGAGAGAGAGAGAGAGAGAGAGAGAGAGAGAGAGAGAGAATGAGGAATTGGTGTTGGGAAATGTACACTAATGAAGGGATGGATATTGGAACATTTTATAACTGAAACCCAATCATGAACAACTTTGTAACTGTGTATCTCACTGTGATTTAATTAAAAAAAATAATAGCGATAGCACAGCGGGTAGGGCGTTCGCCTTACAAGCGGCCAACATGGCCGACCCGAGTTCAATTCCTCCGCCCCTCTCGGAGAGCCCGGCAAGCTACCGAGAGTATTCGATATGCCAGACACAGTAACAACAAAAAAAATAATAAAGAAAATAAAAATTGACTTCTACTAGTCTTACATTGAAGAGGGTGAAACTTTCACTTTAGTTCCCTAGAGTCAGATATTTACTCCCCTCACATCTCAGAAAATTTCACTGCAGAAAAATATGATTATTATTGATACAGGAGGCCTAGAAGAACTCCCAGTTTTATAATATAACTAGATTAATTATCAACTATATTTATGCTCAAAATAAATGCCTTGATCAACATCCATGGTGAAGTGATTTGATAATCCAGCAACTACCTAAACAAAAAACATGTTGGAGAAATAAACAACTTTTAATTTACGTGGTCAAAATTCTTGGTCCATAATGATGAATGCTTACATGGATATGGGTTTTTGTTTTGTTTTGTTTTGGGGTCCACACCCAGTGGTGTTCAGGTGTTACTCCTAGCGGTGCTTGGGAACGACATGAGATGCTGGGGATCAAACCCAAGTCATCCACATGCAAGGCAAACATCCTACCCATTGTACTATTTCTCCAGTCCTCATAGATATGTTTTTTAAAATCCACGTTGGGTCCACTTTAAAATATTTTAAAAATTTCTAAATTAAAACTTTAAGGATAAATTATTGTTATAAACATGAAATTAGATTCATGTTTAAGAATGCTTTAAATTTATATAAAATTTTAGAAATATTGTATTAATAGAGAAGAGTTTCAAGGTAAACTTTAGAGCTTGATGTTTTGTAGGATAGTGTAATGGAAAACTCTACTTAAAAAACCTTTGAGCCATCCATAGTTTAAAATCAATAATTTTTACCCTTGCACCTAATCAAAATTTGTGAAGTGTTAATATCTCTTATTTTAAACTTGACATTTGGGAGAAAAACAGGAAAATTAAATATTCAAGATGATGGTGCCATACCTTTACAACCTTTAGAATTCCCACATTTGTTCTTTCATTCATTTCTATTTCAAACCAATTTCCCTCATTTCCAGAGATAAAGAATATTACTGCCATCCAATTAGCTGAGTATTCTTCATCCAAATCAATGACTCTAATTTCGGTCAAGCCTGAATATAGAGCATTTTCATCTATAGAGATGGAATACTGAAACAAGAATTAGAAAATGTGAACAAAATGTATGAGAGAACTGTAAAACACTTGCATAGGAACATTTGTGGTTATTCATTTTCTGAAAAAAGTTTTATCTTTAATCTCACCTTCCAGTGTTCAAATATATATCCCCCAATTTATTATTTAGAAAAATAACACAAAATATGTGTTTAGGTTATATGTACCTAAGATAACATAAACACCTGCAAGTACAATTGTCTGATTATACAAATACAAATTTTAGGATGGCATGGATTTATAGTTATTTACTTCAAGGACAAATACTTACTGAAGATTGATCAAAGTATGGGATATTATCATTAACATCAAGGATTCTGATGTTGCATTCACACTCTGCTGACATACCACCGGCACCACCATCTCTGTCTGAGCCTCTGACAGCAAGAGAATACTGGCTGTATTGCTAAAAAAATACACATTAGAAACATCACAGTCAGAAGAAAATGTCTTGATTATGATTCATGCAAACTTACTTTTTTTAAACATTGGTTCAACACTTACATTTTAAAAAATACTTATTCCTTATTAGGTTCAGGAGGTGAAAAATTTTTATGTATGGTGAAACTGACTAAAATGATCAGAAGCAAGATGTTAAGGTTGACTGAGGTTTTATGAAAATTTCATACCCTAGTGGTTAACTTTGCAAGGAAAATATCAAACAAAGGTTTTATTATATTTTTTTGTGGGGGAAGTTTGGGAGTAATTTTTAGTGGTTGAACATTGATGATCTTATTGTTCTTGATTCACTGCAATGATACTTGCATGCTTACATTAAAAAAAAACAGTAAAAGCCATAAAACCTTATCCAGAAACATACATATTTGCATCCTCATTTAAAATTTGTGAACAGTTTTAGGGGATTGAGTCATAGTTCAAGATATAAAAGTTTCTCTAAGGATTGTAGGTTAATAATATCATTTCAGTGACTCAAATTCCTTTAAGGTTTGAGTTATTTACCACTAAAATCTTTTTGAATTCCATTACACTTTTTAAGAAAGTTTGAGAGAATAAAAGATACATAACTGATTTCTTCTATTTATAATTTTAAATTAAGTATAAAAGATCTAGGTAACATAAAAATTGATGGTATTTAGGTTATTTGGGGTGTAAAAATAATTTGATTTACCCAAAACTTCAGAACAATCAAGGAGAGATTTTCATTTTAAAGTAACTATAATAATTAGACTTTTATCATTTATAGACCAGAGATCTAATAGATTGAGCAAAGCATTTGCCTTGCATGCAGTAGACCTGGGTTCAATCCCCTGTTACCACATATGGTCTTATGAGTGCCATTCAGAGTAATATCTGAGCACAGAGCCAGAGTAAGCCTTGAGCATAGTCAGGTGTGACCTAAAATCCTGCTGTCTGATTATTACGATGAAAATTATCGGACATTGTTATTTAATTTTCATGCATCATACTGATCCTGTGATTCACGTCCCCAGTCAATCAGTGGGCTCTCAGTAAGTGTGACTTAGGGAAAAAAAGTCAAACAGTTTGGGTCTGGAGCAAGTAGGGCATAGCAAGTAGAGTATAGCAAGTAGGGCACTTACCCAGGTTAGATCTTAGCACCCAATTTGGGCTCTTAAGCTCCACCAGGAGTGAATCTCAAGTGCAGAGCCAGGAGTAAGCCCTGATCCAGGTATGGCTCTCAAACCAAAACTTGAAGAAATACTTTAAAAAAAGAGCTCTTTTTTCTTTTTTGAGGAGGAGGCCACAGCCAGATGTGTTTGGGGCTACTCCTGGATCAGTGGTCAGGATTACTCCTTGCAGTGCTTGAGGGGGACTCTCTGATGGCAGAGATTTAATGAGATAGTTCTGCTCTCAAAGCATGTGCTCTAGCTCTTTGAGTTACACTCTTGGTCAAGAGTTCTTTTCCTAAATAAGTTTAGGGTAGCATTGTCCTCCCATTGTTCATCCATTTGCTCGAGTGGGCACCAGTAATGTCTTCCTTGTTTAGGGTATAGAGAGTTAAATAAGTTTCTTAGCCAGTAAAACTTAATGGAGAGTCTACCTTTTCACATGCATAATGTACCTTTTTACATATATCAGGTGGTGCTCAAGGCTACTCCTTGGGCCAAACTCCTGGTGGTGCTTCGAGGGATCATGTAGTGTGAGACATTGGCCACATATAGGACAAAAGCCTTAATCTCTGTTCTATTTCTCCGACCTCTAAAATTATTAAATTTTTTTGAGAGCAGAGGGGAACTCAATATATTCATGTTCAAGGACTTCTCTAAGCTCTGTGCTCAAGGGACCACGTAATGTTAGGGGTCAAACTTGGGCAGGCTGCATGTAAATTAAGAAACTTAACCGTATGTCATTTCTTTGGCACACACATTTCCCCTAAATTTTCTTAGTTACAGAGCACAGGTTTGGGGGAGTGGGATGGGCAGAAGGTAGTTGAGCTACAACTGGCAGTGGTTAAGGCTTACTCCTGACTGTGCTGAGGGATCACTTTTGGTAATGCTCTGAAGATCCTATGAATGATGGGAATCAAACCAGAAACAGCTTTTTGCAAGGCAAGTGCCTTGACCCCTGTGCTATCTGTCTGGCCCTACCTCACCTTTAAAGAAAAGATGGAAATTTTGTCCACTTATATTCCAAAACATTATTCTTCTTTTTAAGCAATAATTTTCTTAAATAATGTTGTTTTCAGAGTCAGTCTCTCTATATAGTAGCCCTTTCAAAGAAAAAGAAATTACCTCTCTGTCTAGAAAGTTATTCATTGTTCGAATTTCTCCAGTGTATCTGTTGATAATAAACATTGGCGAATCAGATGGTTCTTGTCTTATGATCTTGAAAGCTATTTTGGAATTCAAATTATTTGGTTCATCTGCATCAGTAGCATTTAGTATCATCACCAGTGTGTCTAGAAATAAAGAAAAATTAATTGCAAGTGGAAAGTTTGCATTTTTTGTTATAGCATAGCATAGAGCATACTTCTTTCCCAGAGAATGATGGTTTTAATTAGTTAATACTTTCTGTACTTTATCATTTTACCTTTATACTTATTAAAAATTTCAATTTCTATGCTCTTTATAAATCTTTGTCTTTGACCAGAAAAGATCATAGTTCATGAGGAACATTATTGATAGAAAACAAACAAATCTTTATGTTTTTCATTTGTTTAATCTATTATAAATCAATTTTTGTGACTGTTTTGCTAAAACAAAATTACATCAAAACCAGATTAACTCTTTGCTAGCAGTAGCACTTTCTCAGTTATATGGCCTTAGCCCCAGTTTCCAGATCTGTGAATGGGAATGATAACAGTATAGTCCTCATTGACTTCATTAAAGAAGTAAATAACTTTCTCTGATTTGGGGGGGGAGGGGGCGGAATATTGGAGACTAAACTCAGAGACTCAAACTTGTGAAGCACATGCTTTACTACTGGCCATAAAAATGAACTTAATGACAGAAGCACTGTAGCACTGTCCTCCCGTTGTTCACTGATTTGCTCAAGTGGGCACCAGTAACATCTCCATTGTGAGACTTGTTGTTACTGTTTTTGGCATATCGAATATGCCACGGGGAGCTTGCCGGGCTCTGCCATGCGGGCAGGATACTCTCGGTGACTTGCTGGGCTCTCTGAGAGGGACGGAGGAATCAAACCCGGGTCAGCCATGTGCAAGGCAAATGCCATACCCGTTGTGCTATTGCTCCCGCCCGATAATTTATACACATAATGTATAATGTATAATGACAGAAAATGATATAAAATTCCTATTGAAAAAGGCATACTTAATTGCATGTATTGTGTAGTATGTGTGTGTGTGTGTGTGTGTGTGTGTGTAGTGTTGTACTGTTTTGTCTGGTCACTATAAAGTGCTTGGTAAGTAGTCAATATATATAGAGTTTCTTGTTTAGTACACACATTATTTGTCTTTACTGTTACTCTTATAATTATTTTTATTTTGTAGGAGGATATTGGAGAATGTGAAAAAATACTTGTTCATCAACTAGAATTATCTTCTACATTCAAGCCTTATTTCCAGTGAAATTGTCTTATGTTGATATGATTTAACCTATAGTTGCCTGGGTGATAAGAATGATCTGGAAGCTCATATGGCTCATTTACTTAATTACTTACTTGCATTGGAATTTTCTTCTATTTGTCCTACAAAAGTAGACATAGAAAATACTGGAGGGTTATCATTTATATCCAAAACCCTGACTCTGAGCTCTAGAGGCCTCTCTAAATCTTGACCCATGGAATTTAGAGCCCGGCAATAGATCTAGGAGAGAAAAGAGAAAAGCAGTATGAACTATATGATGTAATGTGTATTAGTTAAGTTGCTACTTAGGGTATTGTGCTAGACACTGTAGAAAACAAAAGAAAACTAAAAGAAAACAAATACTTTTATCACCAGAATATAGGCACAAGCATTATTATTAACCACTATAAGAGGCAAACACAAATTTAGGATATCATCTGAGGAAAGGTAAAGCTAGTTACAAAGAACAAAATTACAGTGACTTCATGGGAGGATACAATGATTAACTCTTAAAAGATAATTGCCCAGGTATTCCAAGAAAAGGGATTAATGTGGAAAAATTGATCAATAAAAAAAAACTACTTGGATTTTGGAATAGGGGCTATTTGCAGAACTGAGGATATAATAAAAGAAAATGTATGATTCAGGGGCTTCAAGAAATATAGTAATAATATGCAAGGTTGTGAACATGTGGGTGATTTGTTATCATTACTGCTATTATAATTCGAATCATTCATAACTATTATGTTAGTTTAACCTACCTTTATGTAAAATGACTTTGTCCTGCAAGAAAAATTAATATAGTTGGCCACGCTAATTTAGAGTCCTCCCGTTGTTCATTGATTTGCTTGAGCAGGCCCAGTAACGTCTCCATTGTGAGACTTCTTGTTACTGTGTTTGGCACATCGAATACTCTCAGTAGCTTGCCAGGCTCTCTGAGAGGGGCGGAAGAATCGAAACTGGCTTGGCCAGGCTGACTGTGGGCAAGGCAAATGCCCTACCGCTGTGTTATTGCTCCAGCCTCTGTGGGGGAAACACCTTGGTGATGAGACTGGAATTAGATTTGGAATACAGAGAATCAGTATCAGTGAAAGTTGCAAGCCGAGATAGATATTTGTAGGTGCTTTGAAGAATTATTAGCAATTAAAAGAAAATGGTACCAAATCAAGGAAGTTTTAATTATTTAAGCATTAACAAGTGTTGATCCTAACAATGGATGAATATGGAAAAAAATCAATGATGCAGAGAGAGAAGAGATGAAAACACAAAACAGAGAACACGGATCTGGAAGAAGGAGGTAATTATGGTATAATGAATCTATCTTGAGATAAGCTGCGAAGAAAAATGGAAAATTGCTCCTGCTTACAGATTCAATGCAAAATATTTCTGAGCTGGAGGAGGGAAGTTTGTGAGAATTTATTATGGGGAGTTCCAACCTTGGTCAGAAGATTAACTGCTTAGGGTGGAAATGAGGTTGAAAGTTTAAAAAAAAACATATGTAAGCTTTATCATCTATACTGTAAATAATGGAGCGAAATTCAGTTAAGTTTAATATATCCAAGAAACATTCTTGGAGTTCAGATGCACATGAGCATACTTTTATAATAAAGTGTGTTCACTCAGAATAGCCTTGCTTTCTTAGTAGCTCCACAATGTACACTTGAAAGCAGAGTGAGGAGAAATTGATGTTCTTAACAGTATCAAAGAAATAAAAGTCAAAGTTGAGTGCTTTCCAAATAAAACTAGAATGACCCGTGCTAAATGTTCTAGTTCACCATTGGGACTAGTCTGGAGGTCAGCATTTTTTTTTTCATTTTTATTTATTTTTTTACAGTTGTAGATTTACAATTTTTTTTGTGCTTGGGTTTCAATTATACAATGATCAGATACCCATCCCTCCACCAGTGCCCGTTTTTCACCACCATGGATAATATCCCTCCCACCCCCATCCCCCCATCCCCCCCTGCCTCTGTGGCAGGGCAATCCCCTGTGTTCTCTCTCTCCGTTTGGGTGTTGTGGTCTGCAAAAGAGGCATTGAGTGGCAAACATGTTCAGTCCATAGTCTACTTTCGACATGCATCTCCCCTCCTGGGAGGATCCTCCAAACATCCTTTATTTGGTGCTCCCTTCTCTATCTGAACTGCCCTTTCCTCTAGGATACCCGGCTGGCCTCTAAGTTATGGGGTAATCTGGAGGTCAGCATTTTTACTAAGGCAATTAAGTGAAATTGTTCCTCTCTCTTACTCTTCTCTTTGCTTCTACTGGGTAATAAAATTATGAATTAGAAAAATAATCAAAAATACCTAGTTGACACTAGAAAACAGATCAAGTTTGATGTGAATTTAAGTAGTTCTCCAAATTATTTAGACTTCAACATATAAAAGTTGATATGTGTCTTACTTACAATGAAAAAAGGAGTGACCTCTCGATCAACTATGGATGTTATATTAATTTCACCAGTTTTCTGATTAACTATGAATACTCCATAAGGTGGTTGATCAATTCCTATTCCAGAAATGTGGTATGTAACTTGCTGGTTTGCTGCACAATCTGAATGAATCTGTAAGAAAGACAAATAAAAATATTAAAGGGAGAAATCTAAGTTCCATGCTGTACAATAAGTCTCTTGGATAAGAATTGATAAAGGCGCAGCTCCCTGTTACTAGTTTTTTTTTAATGCCGAAAACAGCATTTATTTTTCTAGATACCAGAAGTTCTAGTATTTTCAATGTAATTAAAGAAATTAGAATTTTACTTTTGCCAAATAAGACAAAAAAAACCCTAATAATTATGAATCTATATATTTGTTATTAATTATGCACTCATTCATTCAATATTTATTCACTCCAGTGTCACTGATGTGACCCTGGTGGCCTATAGCACAACTGGGCCTGAGCAGAACCACATCAATTGGACCAAAGTGTTGAACTCTCTGACCTAGGAACAGCATCCCTGAGCACTGCTGGGTAGGATCCTGATATTCCTTTCTCCCCCAACCCCAAGTTACTTTGAATGTATTCAGTGTTGACTTAGTTATTTAATGAGCATAATTTTTCACCAAAAGTTTAGAATAATCCTCAATCATGTATATTTATTTCAACAATGGTCTAAGCCAAAGTTTAACTGTTTATCTAAGTGCCTAGATTACTTTTTAGGCTTTTTAATGACTTCAGTTGTCATAAGATTAAGGGCTATAGGTTCTTGGTAAAATATGTTCACAAAATATTTTAAAAGTTTGGTTCTCTTGAACTAAAGTTTAGCCCCATCCTTTCTATTGGGGGTTGGTACTTACTTTGGCGATTGGATTCCTTTTTGAGTTGTCTTCTCCTTCACGACAGGCTGCAGCAAATTTGATCCATTCACGTTTTTGCCTTCTGATGGAATGCCACTTGATAGTGCCATTTTTAGCGTTATAATCTCTTACCTTGAGTGGATAAATAAGGTAAAAATATCTATGAATTTTTTATTCATAATTTGCATTTTGTGAGAGATTGGGAGAATATTAATTATATTAGGATGAGTATTTTATTAGGAAACCGGGAACTTTTGCAATCCATTTTAACATAGCATCATAAAAATGAGAAAAAAAAGTTGGAGATATATTATTTACTCCCAGCCTACTTTCTTCATTTTTAATTAAAAAAACAGATTTGTTCTATATTACCTGGATTCGGAATTCACAGTTAACTTCCACCATCACCTATAAAACACAAGATTATAAATATAGTTAACTTTTTAAATAAATATTTATAATGCATAATATTCAGTTGCTTAAAATCATTAAAGCTTTTGGTCATTAAAACTAGTTTGTCACTATTTTGTCACTCTAATGTGTTTAAAGAAATATCAATAAAATAATAATATCAATATAGACGAGAAAAAAATGCTTTGGTTAAGTGACTGAAATGTTATTGTTAAGTCCTTCTTGGGTTCAGAATTGTATGATGGTAAATGCAGATAGGCACTTCTTGCTACCTGTGAATTTATGAGCATGTATATTGTTTTTTTTTTTTAATCTATCTCTACCTTTCTGATTCTGTCTCTCTGTCTTCTCTCATGTGTAGGGGTGAGGCGTAGGTGTGGGGATACCTTAGCTGTCTGTTTGGAAGCCATTTTTTTCATAGTTACAGAATTGTGTATGCATCTGTTATCTTGCTTACACTTCCCTTGCCACACTGAAGACTCAGTGTTTGCTGTTTGTTTTGGAGAATGATGTCAGATGACTAAGAAATCTCCAACTTTATGAAGCTGGGTCATTCTTTTTCCCATGAGAGGTAACTTAGGCAGAGTACCAAGTAGGTTTCACCATAGTGTCAGGCTCTCAATTGGATTAGTAATTAAAAAACTTCCAAGTCTGCTTAAAAATATGTTGTGTTGACATAACCTTGCTATCTTTCACTCTGAGTTAAGAATAAACTTTAAAACAAAGTTAGACATTCAAAGGCAAAATAATGAGACAAAGAAACCATTGGTAGAGTCAGAAAACTTTTCAATGTACTTCCTAAATCTACGGGGCTTTAATTTTCTCATTCGTAAAATGACAGGAGAAGACTAATTATACATAGTCACCTTTTCAATTCTAGCTCCAAATCCCTGCAGGAAAATACTGAAGTTTTTGATCATGGGAAAGGCATGATAAACCAATGAGTTTAAAAAATTACTCTGGCAGCAATTAGTGGGAGTGGTGGGAAGAGACGGCAAGTACAGACTATGTACAGTTCAGTCTTTAGCATTAAGTCAGGCAGCAATGAGGAGGAGCTTAATTGGAGAAGTGGACAAACAGGGAAAGATCAAGTGAGAAATGCTGTTCAGTTAAAAATGAGGGAAAAATGGGGTGTCAGAGTTAATACTTTAAAGAAATAGGCAAGAATCTCATGGAGTATCTTTTTATTGGGGGGGAGAGTATTCCCAAAGGGGAATGGGGGCTATGGGGGCCACTCCTGACAACACTTGACCAACCCGGCTGGTGGTTCAGTTCAAGCTCCCACAGAGACGTTGGTACACAGACCCTATGGTGCTGTGCAACCATCAGGGTCAACACTACTAAGGAATATCTCATGACTAGGAATTAAACAAGAAGAATTCCTACATCTATATATCTTTAAAAAATGACAAGAACAAGAAGCCAAGGAAAAGAGAAAAATGAAAAAAAATAACATCGTGTTATTGAAGGAAAGGAGGAATGAAAGAGATGGAGTATAAACAAGTATACGATGACATTAAGGGTTTTTTGTTTGTTTTGTGGACCCACACTTGGTAGTACTCAGAGCATTCTCCTGACTGCTCTCAGGGGTCACTCCTGACAGGCTCAGGGTACGGGTGGGGGGTGGGGCAAAGGGGAGAAGCCATAGGTTCTGGGGATTGAACTCGGGTGGTATGTGTACAGGGCAAAATGCCTAACCTGCTGAACTGTAACTCTGGCCCTGACATTAAATTTTTGAGCAGAGTGAATTCTGAGATTTTTTTTGTGTTCTCAGAAGAGAGTTTTCAGATGATTAAAATAATCCTTTTGTGACAGAAACAGAGGGAAAGATGGAAGAGAACATAAGAGAATGTGACTTTCGTGGTCAAGGAGATGTTAGAGGGTTTAGGGATAAGTATGAGCCTAATCCATTTCAATCCCCATTACCATTTGTCCCCCTGGCACCACAGGGTGTGGTCCAAGAGGCCTCTGAGCTTTGCCGGCATGACACCACAGGGCTCAGTAGCTCAGATCCCTGGGTCCTTACACCACGCAAGCTGAGCTAGTTGAATCAGAATCAATGGGAGGGACCTCTGGGGTCCCCTGAACATTGCTTGGGAGGGGCTTCCCCATTAAATATAAATTTGGGGAGATGGAAAGACAGTAGATTAGATTAAGCGCTTGCCTTGCACGCGGCTGACCTGGGTTGAATCCCTGACACTACCGGGAGTGATTCCTGAGCACAGTGTTAGCAGTAACCCCTGAATATCTCCAGATGTGGTCCATAAGATAAACCAAAAAAATTTTTTTCAAGTTCATTGGTGATAAACAGTAAGAAGTTATTTATAGTAGACAGAATCAAATTTAGCATCTAAGGACTATTTGGGGAATTGGACATATGGGTATTTGGAAGTGGAGATAGAAAAAAGTAGGAGAATTTTAAAAACATTTTACTAAACAACTTTGATTGATAGTGAATTTTAAACATATAGCATTTTAGCATCAGTCCCACCACTGGTGTCAATTTCCCTCCACTAGTTCACACATTCTCTTCTACCCCCACAAAAGGCATATTTCAACGTTTGGTTGTTGTAATTTAGCTGTCATGTTTTCAGTGTCATTGACTCCGTGATTTGGGTATATAACTATACCACTCCCCACATTTCCGATGTATCTTAGGCCTCTGACCCTTGCTCTCCTGTTACTTCTCTACCCCATCTTCTTATTTCCCCTCTTGATTCCTGTCTTTCTTTGTCTTTCTTCTCTCTATAAAAAGTAGGAGATTTTTATTTGAAAGAGAAGTTCAGAAAGGTTGTTCTTGGTGGAGTGTTGTGATGAAGAGGACAAAGGGTATATAAAAGGACTTTGAAAAAGAAAAGAGTATTGCTTGAGTGTGAGAGGAATTTATGTGTGTGTGTGTGTGTGTGTGAGGGGGTTGGGCATACCCTGTGCTATTCAGGGGTTATTCTTGGCTCTGTGCTCAGGAATCACTCACTGTAAAGCTCAGGGAACCACATGGGTTGTAGGGGATGAGCCTGGGTCAGCAGCTTGCTGGGTAAGTATCGTACCCACTGTACTGTCACTCTAGCCATTGAGTAAGAGTGGGTATTGAAAGAAAATGTACTGGAATCTCTAATGGACATTCACCGAGAAATGAAAACGAGGGTAATCTGCTGTATAGACCTCAGAGTAATTGGGTTGTATAGACTTCAATTTTCATTGGGATGGGCAGTCATTCTGTGCCTCCGTTTACTCACCTGTATATGAAATGAACACTTTTTCAAACTTAAGGGTTCTAAGAGAGCAGTTAATTCACTTAACTTTATAAGTCCCCTTTCATCTCTTTTTTTTTGAAAGATACAATACACAAAATTGCATGGTGAATTTAATAATTCTCCATATAAATACTTTGAGTTTGTCTTTATTTTTGCTTTTGGGATTTTTATTGAAGTTTACATTTCTTTTCATAGAATAAATGGTCTTTAAAAAGGCAAAATTATATTCATAAAGAAAACCCACTTGAATCTAAACCTCTTAAGATTGTCTTCCAGAGTAAAGTGGCAGTTTTTGCTATGTACTCATTCTAATGTATTTAACTGCTACAGATACCTAAAAGATAAACTTTAAACAATAGAACAGTGTGTGTCTCTTTAAACCTCCTTTGGTCTTTCCCTTCTATTATTTGAATAAAGCCCATCATTTATAAATGGCAATTCAGTAGGTTAATTTCCGTTATTAACTCACTTTTTAAAACTTATTTGACAAATGCATATCAAATGTGAATTATAATAATCCAAGGTTGAACTAAGATTTTAAAAGACTATTTGCTTTAAATATCTAAGGTAATCCCTAGAGAAAACGTAAAGAATCTAAAGTTGAACGAAGACTTCAAAAGTGTGTTTGCTATAAGAATATTAAGATAATCCTTAGAGAAAATGTAAAGTAAATGTAGCATTCTGCAAAAAAACCTTAATGTAGTGAAGCCTGGAGTGGTAGTACCAGGCTCTTTCCTGCTGTGTGGCTGATTCTGTCTCCATTTCTGGCACCATATATGGTCCTGATCCTGAGCACAGAGCCAGGAATAGCTGCTGCATACCATGAAGTGTGGCCCCAAACCACCCAAATAAATAAATATTGGGAAATTCAACATGACTATTTTCATTTCTGAAGCCTGGTTGTTCTTTTTGGAGTACACAAGGAGTAAAGAATATAAAAATTTATAAAAAATAATATATAAATCCAAAATTTTCTCTCTGATGCCTCTACTCTGTGATCTGCCATCTATTAAACAATCCTGAAGTAGTTCATGGCACTGTGAAGGGTACAAAAGTGAACCAAACACAAGATCTACCTTCGAATAACTTATAGTCAACTGGTTTTGTGAGTAATAGTCTCTCATTAATTTGCGATGATGTGTTTTTTTACTGGAGAATTGTCAAAAGAAACACTTTATCTTCATAGACCAACTGAGGACAGGCATTGGCAGCCTTTGACATTTAAGCTTGGCTAAGACAATTAAGGGAATTTGCATGTCAAGCCTTACCAGCTGGAGTGGCATGGCCCTGCATTCTGTCAGGGTGTTTCCTCACAGATAGGAGCACAGTAATTCCAGCTGCAAAGCCAAATATGTTTTATTTATATGGCAGGCAGTGCCTATGAGAACATGGGGTTGGAGAGATAGGCAGCAGCAATGTCTTTGAATGATGTAAGAGAAAGAATTTTCAGAAGTTAAATTCTGGTCTAAGGAAGAGTGCTATTTTCCAGATCCAAATGACACTTGTTAAATAGATTAAAATTTTCTTGATGTATGTCCTGTGTGTACTGGAAAAGAATGAATACTCAAATAGATGAATATTTTATGGTTCAAGTTTTCAGATTTTCCAGACAACATTTTCCATAACTTTAGGATTTTTTTTTGCATTTTATTATTACTTAAGTCAGGCCTGTAAAAGATTTTACTTTGTGGCAACTCAAACCAATTAAATGATGATGATTTATATTATCTATGTTTATAAAGATGAAAGATGTAAACCTTAAATTTGTATTGAGATAATAAAGCTGTTAAGAATATAGTATAGTGAAAATAATGTTATCTAAATTCAGTCTATAACTTTTACTGAACCAGATGAACAGAAATACTGCTTTCATTTTCTATAAAATATTTTACTGATATGTAAAGTTCAATAATATGTTTCAGAATATGTGCACAAGAAAGCATAAATCTTTTCTTTTGCTTGTCTGGTATGGTCTGAACTGGTCCATCAGTCTTTTCATTAGAGGTATCAGTGAATACAGTTATAGGAATTTAAGATGTCTGATTAAAATAAATAGATGATTTATATAACCACATATACTTTTTTAATGAATTTTAGTCAGTGCTGAGAAATAGATTGAAAAACTCTGCTTATGTCCTAAATAATTTCAGCTAAGTTTAAATTGGTTTGGAATTAGTTTGTCAAATTATTAGGTGCTTTCTTTGAAAGAAAAATTAGAGAAGAACTAAAAGTTTGACTGATATGATAAAATGAAGAAATCAGATCATTCTTGGTAATAGATAAAAATCAATTTATTCTTTAGATTTATGTTTTAGAAATTGATCTTTCTAGGGAAAGATAGCTTAAATTTGTGTTGATTTAAGTCGACTAGTTGGATCTGACAAAATTATAAATAATTTTTAGAAATAATTAGAAATATAAAAATATTTAAATTTTTTTTCTTTCCCACAGTCACAACTATTTAATAGGAATTTTTCTGTTTGGTCTACAGGTAACATTTTTTTTTCTCTAGTCTAGAATACACTTGAACCCATTTAAACCCTCATTTCCCCAGACATTAATTTCTTTGAAACAAAAGAGAAAAAAATGCAGAGTTAAGAGCATCTATTTAATTTGCAGTGTTTTAACAGGTACATGCAGTCCAGGTGTCTTTCTAAATAATGAATAGTCATGTGGCAATCTGGCTCTCTGTAAGAGCAGGTTCGTCAGCTTTCGTCTACCTGATCTAACTCACTAATTTGAATAAAGTCTGAAATGTTTAGGTATATTGTGTAGTCTATGTAACATGAATGACTGCCTGAATTTTAAATGGATTTCCATTAAAGATAGCAGGGCTTAAATGTATTTGAGGTTTTCAGATTGCCCAGACTTGCTCTCTATTATAGATTAATACTGACTTTGAGCAGAGAAAACTACAAAGACTTTATGTACTGAATGTACATACATGCACTTGTGTGTGTGTGTATGTGTGTGTGTATGAAAGCAAACATTCATAGGAAAAGTGGCATAAAGGTACATGAAAGAATTTTTATAGTAACTTTTGAGTAACTTTTAAGGACAAGAGTATTTTAAAGGAAAAAATTATATTGTATTATTCCAAAGGACATTTATATAGATCATTTGAAAATGTCAGTGGTGAAAATAAAATAAAATTTTTCAAACGTTAGGAAGTGAAATGTTTTATGAAAGACAGGTGTAATAATATGAGCTTGAAACATTTGGATTTGTTATTTCTTTGAGAAGAAGTCTTAAAAATGCCTAGGAGAAATCATGGTTGGTTCTAATTTAAAATAAAGCAATAAAAAATTCCACAAATAAAGAAATAAAAAATGTACCTGGACTCAGAAAATAAAGTGGACATGTACAGCCTCTCTCATAAAGAGGAAAAGTATAATGAGGCTACATAATTTTAATAAAATGATACATTTTACTAAAGAATGACTAATTAGAAAGTGTTTGTTCAAAGGAATTTTATAGGATGCAATTAATTATACATAATCATAAAATTTTCTTATATATTCAATAAAAATACATCAAATAAACATTAGCATTATGTCAAGCATTCGTGGATTAAATTTACACATGCTTGGTTAATTCACAACATAAAAAAACTTATGCTTAAATGACACACTGATCATGAATCCCTGACATATGCTAATATCTGATATCAACTGATTCTAAAGATCCTTTTAAAAAGTCTATGAAATAAGGCTAATGTTTGAAAGACAGCTTGGAGCTAAGCTAAAGTTGCCATCTCATTCATACTTGTTTATGGATAAATCCATTGTTTATAACCTCTCTTAATTAATAAATTAAGTTCAAACTGACCGTCATAATTTCTACAAAATTTACAACTTGTTATTATCGAAACCCAACAATCCAGTTCAAAAATCAAGCAAGTAGAAACAAACATGAACCACAACTCTAAATCCTGCCAAATCAGAGAGCAAATTACCTGGCACTTGCTTTTGGATTACATTAACTTTACTAGGAGTGAAACTATGACTTAAAATTTTTCTACATAGTGAAATCGAAGCAACATGCTTGCATTACTTTTAGGACTATCTCTAAAAAGAGAAAACTAATAATATGGAAGGGGAACGACGATAAAGCATTTCATTACATTTGTTGGACTATCAAACGTTTAACTTTTTCATTACAGTCATGACTGACTTTCCAGTAGTAAGATCCAGTATCATAATAATTATATACACCCCGTAATTATAGCCATTCTTTCATCTATGTTATTTATAAATCTCCCAAGCCAACATTTAAAAAATAAAATATATTTTTAATAAAAATCAGTTTTGCAGTGTATAACTTTCAATATCAGTGACATGAATCTGCGACACATGAGACCTATGAAGTCTTTGGGCTGTGAGGCCTGTCCACTCAGTGCTATGATTATAATCTATATGAATTCTCTTTTGATATTTTAGAAGTTCTAGTGAATTTGCCGGCAGAAATACCCTGAGAATGCGAAATTATGTAAGTGAAAATTATGACACACTTGAGACAGTAAGTTAGAATCCCACCTCCTTTTAAAATTCATTGATAATTTGAATAGAAAAATGCTATCAAATAGTGACACGACTTTCCCAAATTCAGTATATTCCCAGCATGACTTAGCAATGACTTGGGTGTCAGGGATGAGATATGATGAGTTGATGCTGATGCGTTACTATGATCTTGAGTCTTCAATTAAAGAGAGCAACAGTACGTAAAAATCTCGTTCATAAAATTCACCTTGTCATTAACATAAACTTTTTAATGGGTTTATGTTAAAAAAAAAAGACTAGTAATGTTTTCTAAAAAGTTCTCACTTGTTTACAATGAGAATGACTATAAAGGGTTTTTAACAGAATTCACCTACCAGGAAAATGAACAGCACTGCAGCTGTTCTGAAGACGTGCCAGTCCATCGCTGCTGGGCTCCTTTACATCCAAGACCACGGGAGTTTTGTTTGCTCTTCTCTGTTCTTTTGCCTTGCCCCACTCAACTGGTGTCTGATTAAAATAATTTCTCAGTAGATGTTCTTACATGCAGGCTTTGAGGTGTTTCTGCCTTCTCCGGGAGAAGTACCGAAGGTACGTATAACCAGTCCAGATCCCCACCCTAAAACTTGGGCTGGTCTCACTGAAATGCTTGACAAGATCATCATTGCTCCAGGTAAAAGCTTAGGGACACACCCTTCTCCCAGTAGGAAGGCATCTCTTCTGTTGGGCACAAAAGATTTACTCTTTTGCTGTTGAGTTACTGGGGCAGGCATTGAAAATGATCAGAACTATGAAGAGTTGTGCAGTTCATCGGAGCTTTTTGCCTTATCCTTTATTTCCAAGTTGTTTAATTTTTCCTCATATATTAAAAAAAAAGGAAAGTGTATTCTGGATGCTTTTATTATTCAAAGAGGTTCATCCAGCCCAGGCTCCTAGCCAGACCCTCAGGTCACGTTGGAAAATTAAAAACTTTCCATTTCAGTTCATTTAAGCATTTCAAAGCTGTTTTGTTGGTTGTTTGAAAAGCAGGACATTTGCTAATATTGAGTGAGGATTTTTTAAAAGCATTAATTTCAAGAAGTAAAACTATGATACTTACTATTATAAGATCCTCTGCATGAGTAATACTTCCCTACAAGTGACCAGTCTAAATCCAGAGAAACTTCCCTTTTCTCTTAGTGAATGTCTTCTCTCCATAACATTTTTCTCTTTAAGCTCTTGCTCTTCTTAAATGCAGTAAGTTAAAAATCTAAACTAGTACTAAGTCAGAAGAAAAGTAAACAATCAGAGCCACTAATTAAAATAATGTAGATAAGTTTTAAAGAGGATCAGTGCCTGAAATACTCTGGACACACAGAAAGTTGTTCTTCAGGTGAGGTGGGTTAAAAGTCAGTGACGATTCCCAAGCTCAGAGCCAAGAATCTGAATGGTGAGCCAATTAGAACATGGGGAATACACTGAAGAAACAGCTGCCCACACATGCAAATGAGAAACTGAACACAATCCATAAGGTTTGTGAAAATAAATAGTCTCACAGGCAGCATTTGAACATGCTCCTAAGGTATCTTTCTTCAGTTGGCAATGTCCAGTCTAAATATTGTGAGTGGGAGAACAGGTGTAGGGTTCAAAATGTCAGCTGAGCAAGAGACCTTTCTGATGAAATAATGATGATTGGCAAATGGGTGCTAACAATGCCCAAGAATTAAAGGATATCTCTGAAGGTCATTTGCACATTTGAAATGTCATTGGTTCAAAGATCGTCATTCAACATTATTTTAATTTCATGCACCCATCATGGAGCTTAGAGAGACAGAGACAGGCTGCCTATATGACTTGCAGTGAGTATTCATACTTACGGTATGAATTGGTTGATGCAGATAAATAGAATAAAATGAGAGAGACTGGTCAAATTCATCATATCTTACTCAATGTAGAACATGATTGTCAACGTATGAGTTAGTCTGAGCAACAGTGGGTTTCTATGCTCATGAGTGATTAAAGTCTCATTGGCTGCCAAGATTAAAAAGAAAGCAAACAAATTAATCTTCAATTTTCCTATGGCAAGTAAATACTTTATTCACTGTGAATTATGGGCACAGTGCTTTGGTGTGCCCACATTCTCTTCATCCATGAAATGACCAGTCTCCAACCCCAGCCCTGGCTCCACCCTTAAATCAAGTGCTCTCCTTTGACAGTCTCAATTTTTCTGACAGCTTTCTGGAGAAGGGGTGTGATAAGACCCAGTGTTGCAAAGAGCAAACTCTCTCGACTCTCCATGGGCAGGCATGACATTAAGTACAAATGGAAAAGAGTTTATGAATCACCAACCCTCCTCCTTAGTTTCTTTCCCTATTTTCTTCCCCCTTATTTCTACTTACATTCATATTATGGGGCACAGTCTTGTTCAAAAGTATTTTCCGATGGAAATGTTCTCTATCTGTACTGCTCGGGATAGTAACTATTAGTTATATATTAGTTATATGTGAAAAAAATTTGAAATGTGACTCATATGACTGAAGAATTGAATGTTTAACTTTATTTTAGTTCATGTAAATTTATATAATCACTGGTGGCTATTGGTTACCATATTTCACATGCAAAGAGGTTAGAGTACCGTTTTTAAAAATTAGCTTCCATCATATTCAAAGGTTGATCTTTATAAACTCAACTCCCTTTAATTAATTCTCTCCTGTTTCCTAAATTGAGGGGGTTATGAACTTTCAGTTTCTGAGCAGCACCTTTTGATTTCATTGCCTTTATGTTTTCAGTTTTCTTAGTTGGTCTTGTTTCTTTTTCCTGACTCCCTACTGACCCACCTTTGTGATAACAATGAGTTAAAATATCCACCCCCCCCCTTCTATTTCCATAATCACATCTTCTGAGTGATCTTTTCAGGTTCTCTTATTTGTAACTTTCCACCACTCTGTACCATAACTGTGCTCCGCAAGTTTGTTTCTTCTAACTAACTAGTATCACTTCTGGTTTCTCCTACTCTGAATATTGTTTAGTACTCTATCTCCATATGCTTGCCAACAATTCTCATTTCCTGGAAATTTTATAAAATTTGGGGTGATTTTTCTGTTTGGTATTTTCCTAGTAAGCTGACAAATTTTCTCAAAGTCATACAAAAGTCTCCTGGGAAAGGTTTCCTTCTTTTTCATAAGCCATTCCAAATTCCATATTGCCAGCCTGTGTCTATATTGTTCACACTTTGGATACTGTAATACCTTCTATAAAGACAAAACAAACAGCATCTTTTTCTGAAGGTGATAGCTTGTACTGATATGGAATTTCTTAAGTCCAATTTAAATAATTCACTACCCCCCTTGGGCCAGAGCCATAACATAGCGGGTAGGGCATTTGCCTTGCATGCAGCCGACCTGGGTTCGATTGCCCCGTCCCTCTCGGAGAGCCCGGCAAGTTACTGAGAGTATTCCGCCCCCATGGCAAAGCTACCCATGACATATTTGATATGCCAAAAACAGTAACAGCAAGTCTCACAATTGAGATGTTACTGGTGCCCGCTTGAGAAAATCGATGAATAATGGGATGACAGTGCTACTTCCCCCCTTATTTTACACAACATTCATTTTACTCCTGTATTTCAGAGAAAGACTTTGGAATATTCTTTATTGTTGGAGGTGAACTTCTAGTCTCATATACTTGTCTCAACTACCCTAACCAGCTATACAAAATGCTTCTTAAATTAATAAAAATGAGGTCAGAAAGATAGCTCAGTGGACTGAAGCACCTATTTTGGATTCAGGAGGCCAGAGTCTGACACCTTATACTACATGATTTCTCAAGTGACCCTCATGCCTAGAGCAGGGAATAGCTTCTAAGTACAATTGGATGTGACCCCGAACAAACAAAATTAGGTGAAATATAAAAATCAATATTAAAATAAAGAAAAAATTTAGGCCAATATATTAAGGATATTAGAATATGACTTTTTGTCTCTGTCAACTTATTAATGTTCCTACAATGTACAGTGATTTCAGATCTTAGTCTATTTTTTTGTCTGTTTTTTTTTTTTTTTTTGCTTTTTGGGTCATACCCGGAGGTGCTCAGGGGTTACTCCTGGCTCTGCACTCAGGAATTACTCCTGACAGTGCACAGGGGATCATATGGGATGCTGGGAATCAAACCCAGGTCGGCCGCGTGCAAGGCAAATGCCCTACCCGCTATGCTATCACTCCAGCCCCTCAGATCTTATTCAAGTGTTTAGATCAGACTATTTTTCAATGAGCCACAGAAAACGTATATAGGTAGACATTATTGGCTAAAAAAAGCATTGATTTGCTTTTTCTGTTTTTGTTTTGGGCCACACCTGGTAGTGCTCAGGGTTCACATCTGACTCTGTGCTGAGTGACCTGACCTGGCCTTACTCAGAGGACCATATGTGGTGCTGGGATTTGAAACATGTCACAGCTGTAGTTGCATGCAGGGCAGGCATGCAGGGCAGGCCTTTGTACTATCTCTCCAACCCTGACATTTCTTTTAACATGTAAACATCAAATGCAATTTAAAAAAAGAGGCTATAGAAATTATTTGAAAGACTCCCAGGTAGCTGGTGTTAATTTATGTAGTATTTTTTCATTATTTTTAAAGATACATGATATAGCACAGAGGGTAGGGTGTTTGCCTTGCATGCAGCCAACATGGCCGACCTGAGTTTGATTCCTCCACCCCTCTCAGAGAGCCCGGCAAGCTACCAAGAGTATCTTGCCCGCACGGCAGAGCCTGGCAAGCTTATGCATGAATGTTTCCAAATTTTTTTTAAGTATATTACATTAATTTTTATTTTATCCTTGGATCTCATTTGGTAATACTCATGTTTCACCTGTCATTAATAACACTCTTAAAGCAATTCCATGTTAATATATTTTGGAGTTTGGATGCATAAGTAAGGACTGCATATATAAATTTTCCCCTTATGCTTTATATCAACACTGCTGTTTACAAAGTTGTTCATGATGATTTGTTACAGGCATTCAATATTCCAACTCCAATCCCACTGCCATTACACCTTCCCTCCACCATTGTCTCCAATTTTCCCAACCACGCACAGCAGTCCCTCAATAATTTATTTTATTTTACTTGTTATCAATAATTTGCAAATAGGATGATCAAAAATGTTTCCTTATAAGTTAGTGAAAATTGTTGTATCTCACCCATTAAGTCCTTGTATAAGAGATTAGGTACATCAGTGGGCTATGTACCAAAGCAGCACACATGTGTTTGGTTTTAGCATACTTATTTATATTCTTTTTTTTAATCAAGATATTTATTTATTTATTTATTGCTTTTTGGGTCACACCCAGCGATGCTCAGAGATTATTCCTGGCTCATGCACTCAGGAATCACTCCTGGTGGTGCTCGGAGGACCATATGGGATGCTGGGAATCGAACTTGTGTTGGCCAT